GAAGGTCGACATGAAATCCATGGTGAGTGCTCTGATTGGGGAGAGTGTCTAGCAGTGCCTGGTTTGATATATACCGCGGCTATACAGCAATCTGCTAAATTACGTAACTTACGAATGGTTTCTTAAAAGTGCTATTAGTGGTTCGGCACGGAACCATTCAGGGGTTAGTAAAATCATATGTTCTTGTTTTGTGCTTGCAAAATTTTTGACCTTTGCACCAGTTCTTCATGACCAATAAAAATGATCCCTAGCCAGCTCTATAACATGAAATACGGTCACTGCATATGCTTTCATGCGATTTGTTCTAATTCCTTGCCGTATATTTTTAATTCAAAGGATGTCAGAAAAGGTATAGATTTCTGCTATAGATTTACTTTTTTAGTTAGCGAGTGCGTTCAAACCGAAAAAGAAAAAATTGTCTGTGGCAATAAGGACCCTGGCACTTTCAACATGCAATTAATGTCAACAACGGCTCTGCCGAAAAAGTCATGGAACAGGGTACGAAAGCATACCATCCGTCCAACTTATTGCAAAATTCCTATGAAAACAACAATTGAAATTAATTACTTCAGAAAACACCGTCAATTAATGACTCCAACAAAGTCAACATCTCTGATAAAGATAATCATCATTTAAACATTTTGCGGAGATTTCATGGGTGTAGTAACAAAACATGACCAAAGCTCATAGCTCTACAGAGAGAGTCGGTATAAAATACCATATCCCACCCCATGGTGGTGAGCCAGCCCACGCAAAATAACGACAACCTAGAGCAACATATCTAATGCATGATGCATTATATGTTTAAACTAGAATAAAAGAGACTAGCCTCTGATACCAAAAGTCTGCATAATGCATTCTACGAACTCACTCATCGACAACGAATTCCACATTTCTTTTACAGATTTGTTTCACTCTCTTCGTGGCATCAGCCACAACAACCGTTCGGAGAACCCTGGGACTGAGTCAAGACGGCACCTACTGGCCTGAGAAGACCCAGGGTGGTAAACGTCTCCTGGGACTGAGTCAAGACGGCACTTACTGGCCTGAGAAGGCCCAGTGTGGTAAGCGTCTTCTGGGACTGAGTCAAGACGGCACCTACTGGCCTGAGGAGGCCAAGAGTGATAAACGTCTTCTGGGAATGAGTCAAGACGGCACCTACTGGCCTGAGAAGGCCAAGAGTGATAAACGTCTTCTGGGAATGAGTCTGGACGGCACCTACTGGCCTGAGGAGGCCAAGAGTGATAAACGTCTTCTGGGAATGAGTCAAGACGGCACCTACTGGCCTGAGAAGGCCAAGAGTGATAAACGTCTTCTGGGAATGAGTCAAGACGGCACCTGCTAGCCTGAGAAGGCCCAGAGTGGTAAACGTCTGCTGGGACTGAGCCAAGACGGCACCTACTGGCCTGAAAAGGTCCAGGGTGGTAAACGTCTGCTGGGACTGAGTAAAGACGGTACCTACTGGCCTGAAAAGGCCAAGAGTGGTAAACGTTTCCTGGGACTGAGCCAAGACGGTACCTACTGGCCTGATTTCGTTGACACCGAGGATGAAACGGACCTCCTGTCTGCCGTCACCAGCGACAACTTCAACGGACAACGGACGCCGGCCCTGTCCGGACAGAGCCGGCGACAGGGCGGGACAGAGACGGCCCGCGAAGGACAGGGGTCAGGGGCATTTAGACGTCACCGACGGCGTCAGGAGGGCCGGGACGGCGGCCACGGCTACGGCAAGTCCTTCCTCCCGGCAGCCGAGGATGTCAGGGCCTTTATGTAAAGCCGGAGGGTAGTTGTTAATGATATCTGAAACGCTGGTGTGATCTCATTTGACGTCATTGGTGTCAGAGGCTCGGCAAAGCAATGGAAGACATTGAAAACGAATGTCCGGTGGAGAGGCAATGTTACGTTACCAAGGCAATGTGAACCAAGCCAGTGAAATAAGCGAGCGAAGAAAGATGGCGGGTGCCAAGCGTCTCGCAAGGCATATCGTAGGGCCAGTGAGCGCGCCAGCCTGCTGAAGCGCACCATTCTATCCTGGTAGCCCCGTTTCCAGTCTCCATGCGCCTGCCGATTATCATAGGATTTAACAGATGAAGTGCTGTTTAGTGTCTGGGCATCGCTCGTTTTGGCCGTGCGGGACGCTTACGTCCGCGATGTTTTCTGGACTCATTTTTGCAAGAATTCACTTCTCGATCATGCATGCTGAAGTAAAGTTTGTATGTGTGGCTGGAAGTACATGCAATGCGATGCTGTTAATTTTGGAATAAAGCAATACAAAACATGATTTGTTATTATCCTGTTAATCGTGCATGCTGCAAGCACATATAACACGGCACAGGCTGTTGTCCTGAATTGCTTGCCTTGTTTCCATTACTTTTACTTTTACTTTCCTTGCGCTTAGAAATTTTTGCATTGCGTTCTAACCGTTGCCCTAATTCGCCGTATTTCGAAATGAGGACTGTTAGGGAAGGAGAGGGGGGGGGGGGGATGTATTGATACGACACATCTGGAATTTACAAGCTAATAAAGATAAAGCTTAGCAGAAAACGCTGGTGGATTTGTGTCGGCGATGTCTTGCGACCTGCTAGTCTTTATTTTGATAGGTCGATAACTTACTCTACAGCCGATTTTTTGTGGCGACACTTCACTTAAACAGGCGCGTTTCTTGTAAAAGGTACACCGCTGTGCAGTGTTTCTTAAAAGACGTCGCTACTCCGAAATCAGAAAAGGTGGGAACGCGTTTCTGATCTTAAAACACGCGTGATGGATGATCCATAGGCTACTTAAAATTCTGGCGCATTTGCGCAACACGCCGGAGAGGTATCCTCAAAAGACCTTGGGGTAGGGGCATCAGCCCCGCCCCCTCCCCCAGGCGAGGGTTAACCTGTTCCCGGCCGGGGATCTGCGACAACCGCGCCGGTCAGGGGGAGTTGTCTCCCCTCCCTGGGGTCTCCAACTTCCAGACGTTGTACGAGACGAACAAAGATACCGCTGTGAAGGTCTCGTCAAATCATGAAGAATGCACACCAAATTTTGAACTTGATCGTGAAATCATGAAGATTGCACCTACGAATTTTCAGGTTTAATGCGAGGTCACCGGAGGTTAAGAAAGACAAAACTCGGTCGTTTCGAAAGATGCAGTTAAAACATATGTTATCACGTCAAGACGGACATTAAGAGCCCGGAAGTAAGCTCCCAGACTCTGTGGGGTCCATTCTGACCATTTCCGTTCTCCCGCAAGAGTCAGTTCACATCAGGTCAGGTTACCGTTCACGATTGTCTATTACTGGCGTACAAGAGCGATACTTGTTTGTGTTTTTTTCACAGTGTGTCTCTGACTTGGTTCATTGCATTAGGTGCCGCCTTTGGACAAAAGTATTCCGGACATAACAAATACCGTTTTAGGCTGACCTAGAAGTCATCTGGGGTCAACTTGGGTCAAATTTGTAAGCAATCCAACTGAAAAGTGAGGTGCTGGCCAGGTCTAAATGATCAATACAATGCTTTCCTGTGGTCAGAAATAGTGTGCTGCTCATCTACAGGTACTCAAGATCGCATGGCTGTTATGTTAATTAAGCGTAGCCCCTTCGACGCTTGGCGATGTATTCGTAACAACGTGCGAACAGGTTCGTTGGTACATATGTTACACGTCATTAGCATTACAACAAGATAAGAAGGTGGTTACACGCGTCGCACCAGTTCATCTAGCCTTTCTGCAACTGGAAACGGCGGCCATTGACTTCAGATGACCTCACATGACCTTACATATTCTCTAGTGACCTATTGTGACCTTATTTTGCATTGGATTGATGTCACAACATGTTTCCAGTTGACTATTCGAACTCTGCGCAACAAAATACGTGTTATAGCTGCCTATTTCGAACCAAGCATGTACTTTTTAGCAGGAACCCATAGAGATAGGTCATGACCTGAGTCAAGGCCATATGCTTTGTGGTCGAACAATGGTTATGCATGTGAATTCATATTCTTTTCCTGATATACAAACACCAGAACTACACAGCTATGCGTACAACTTTGAATGATTTACGAGAAAAAGGAATATTCCCCTAGCCCCTGATCACTGAACTAGCCTATTTTGAAAAATACTCTGAAATCAACAAACTATAGACACTAGGTTGTCCTGATACCGCGTCTGGTTCGACAATTGGGCAATAATGCACAAAATAGTTAGGTGATGTGAATTTTTTCTAGAAGTTGACCTCTGTGACCAGACCTAGGTCAATAACCTTGGCAGATCAAAATTTCAAATATGTACAAAAGGTGTGAAATTGATGGATGGACAGGTGCTGAAAATTTGGTGTTGCTTCGAACGCTCGTTTTTAAGCTGCGCCAAAAAAGTTGCGAATGTTGACTGCCGTAGAGCGGCAGTCAACATTCCCCCCGGAAACGTGGAAGGAGGAAGGGAAATACCCGAACATTTTTCCATTTTTCATGTGGGTTAGATCCTGAACGTTTTTGGCATATGGATGTGTCCTATACAAAAGTGTTTCTGCTTGCGGCTTCGTCGTCTGAGTACCAAGTACGAGAGTGACAGTATTATAACTGTTCGGGCTATGTTGGGGTTGATAAGCTGCTCTTCTATGTCCAAATTTAGAGCAGGGCTCACAGTATTTTAGGCACCATCGATCGTCGCAAAGCAAGAGCTTATTTTCTCAAAATGATTTGAACCGGGTGAACGTTGAAAAATGACTAAAACCAACCCCAAAATACGACAACAAACGGGCTGCTTCCGGGTTTGGCCCAATTTCTTCTCAAATTTGGGGGTTTGAGCCCAAGTTCGGTAGCTAATGTTCTCCTCCCAACTTAATGAGAAACTATGCTTCTATCGCAAAGGCAATTTTGGTCTCCTGTGTTTTAATATTATTCCTGCGAACAGAGCGCCTTTTGCAATCAGCTGATTGATACCTTTCGCATCAGCCTCGCCAGAACCGTCTCCCCGGGAATCAGTGTTTACAAACTTGTTGGCCAACGGTCGACTGCATCGCTGGATCACTTCGCACCGTCGTGCGAAGTGTGGAGATTGGGGGGTTGCTATTGAGGTCTTACTAGCAATATCTGTGTTAGGTTCAGGTTACAAGGTTCGTACAAGCGTCGATCTACCATTTTTGCTGATCTTGTCGTAACATGACAGCTTTAGATGGCGTATAACTGGGTGATAACTGGGTATAGCTGGATTTTAGTGAATGATTCTTTGACAACTTCAAAGGTTTGGTGGGGCTTTTTGAATGTCTTTTTCAACTGGTCCTCTGATGGCGTGATAAGAGAACCCTTTTGACTAGTCAAGGTTTTTTAGTGCTCATTCATACTGACATTGGTGATAAATGCTCATGAACATGCTGGTGTGGAGGTGCTCTACTGAAAATATGTGGGATCTGGAAAGCATTTGTACTGTGTCTCTAATGCTTTTTCATTAAAGGCTGTCATTGTTCATGGCTGTTTCTAACTGGCTAAGTTTTTGATTGCACTATATCTTCAGCTTACTGACTTACCAATTTTCAGATAGCTCTTGGATCTTCAACACCTAATCAGAACCTGAAATGGCGGAAATGATCCCGCAGAACTTACGGGAGCCTGTGGAGGAGGAGGAGACAGAGGCAAAGTAAGGAAGATATTTTGCTTATTTGCACAGCAGAGTAACAAAGCAACTATGAACAGTGTTTTACATCACACTGTTTGCAATAGTATTTTGCATTTAAGCTGATTACATTGTCATTGAAAGCATATTTTTTTCTGGGAAATTTATTTGTGCAAGAATCAAGATCAAAGGCAAATTTTAGGATCACAGTGACCTCATTTTTAGTGTAACCATGTTAGCATGTTGTTTCCTTCAGATAGTGCCCTGCTAGGATGCTGAAAGACAGGCCACATAGATACTATTATTGTCTTGACATTTGTGGATGCTTTTCAACTCAGATCAGAATTACAGTTTTGGTGACACAAGATAAATGATAAAAAGATGTAAAGAGAGAGTGCATTTGAAAAGCATACACAAATGTTGGAGTTGCTAGATGTTCTTGACAGTTGCAAAGGCATCTAAGCTCAGATAGAAATTTTAGGCTTGTGCCCAGGGTTAATGATGGAAATTTGAAAATAAGGATGCATTTAGAAAAACATGGACAATAATTCAACAGTTACAGACACATGTGCTTACATTTAGAACAAAGTCTCAGTTACAAAATCTCTGATTGTGTTGATAGTAGACTCAAATTCTGGGCATGTATCACCTGAATATGACCTATCATAAAACATCAGCCAACTAGCTTTTGCTTTGGAGCACCATTCCAGAAGTCAGCATTATCTACCCATGCACAGCCCAGTCATAAATATAATTCCCTCCTATGTTTTCCTTTATGTGGAAATACCTGAATGTTTATGAACCTGGATACCAGAACAGGTTCATAAACATCACAATGGTGCCCACTATAATGAAATATTGAGCCAGCAACATGGGCCCTTTGCATGAGATGTAAGAGTATTTTTCCCCTTGGAGGCACCAGAATGCTGAGCTTGGCTGTAGCACATCCCGCCCATTCCCTTATGTGATCTGCAGTCACTGTACATCATCCTGTCACCTTGATTTGACCATTGGCAAAAGTCCATTTTGTCACTGCCACATATTGAATGATTTTTGCAGTACTTAGTGGGGCCAAGCCTATGTCAGGGTATCTGAGGCTTCTCCCATCACACAAACAGCAGCATGCTGCGTAGGTACACTGTGTTGCTAACAGAGGTGGGGGAGGGGGGGGGTTGACAAGTGGTTCAGCTGGGTAGTCCCGGGGTTAGCCGGTGAGAGGGAGGGGTCTGACGTGACCCCACGGCGGTGGCGGTACGCCACATGCTGTGACAGCATTCTGACCTCACTGTACATGGCTGAGTGGTGATGGTGCCAGGCCCGGGCCACTGCGGATGGCTCTGCTTGATTTGGTCAGGATGCAGGAGTGCTATTGTCATTGGCTGTGACACATGTCAATGTGGTGGTGGTATGTATCAATAGGGATACCATGCACATTATTTTGCATATTGCTGGCAATGTCGGTTATTTGTGACGCTGTTTGTGTTTATTGCCACATGTCGTCACTGGTAGAGCCGGTGTCACATGATGTTGCATAAAGCTCCTTACCTCACGTCATCGCTGACGTATTGTGTCACTTGCCGTCATCACGTGACGTCACTCAAGCTTTCTACCCCACATTTCACCCGTGACGTCATCATTACACGGCGGCCGTGGCGTGACGTCACCGGCGCCATGCCCGCAGTCAGCTGCTGCTACGCCACGCGTCGCAGAGCTCGCTGGACGAGAGCTCGCAGCGGCAGGGGCAGCGGGAGGCGGTGCCGGACCGGCCGCCCTACCGCAACGGCTCCCACTGCAGCCGCGCCTTCCAGCAGATGTACTCCATGCGCAGGTGTGGGACGGGAAGGGTGAAGGGGGAGGGGTGTCAGAGGCTGCTGTCTTCACACTCGGGAGATATTGGACGGAGTGGTAGACTTCGTGAGAGGTTGTTTCGGAGCTGGAAGTTCACTGTTGTGAATTGTTATTGTGGACATGAAGTCAGACGCTTCAGAATTTCAGAATTAGTGAAGGGAAGGTTAGGCCTCTTCTCTTCATTTAACCGATGTGGCCAATCCTCGCTCGGTAACGCCGCTTGGGCCAGCACCGCCTGGTGTATTGAAGGGCGGTTATTGTTAAAATGTCGACTCCTGTTGCATAGCGTTGAGTGTTGTCGCTAGTATGAGCTGAACTAAACTTCTTGGTGCCATTTGATGTGATGGGTTGCGCTTGCTGAGATGAAAACGCGACAAGTTTCGCGAGGAGGGCCGGTTTTTGCGCCGCTGAAGACGCACCACCGCCTCAGCACGCTCGCCACCCTCTGGCCGGTAGGGAGAGGGCCCTGTGCGACGTCGTGCTGGAGGTCGACTCGCGGGAGATCTTCGCCCACAAGGTGGTCCTGGCGTCGGCGAGCCCCTACTTCAGGGCGATGTTCACCAGTGAGTCTAGCGGGATGTGGGCGAGCGGGCGAGCAGATCGAGGGGGGGGGGGGGGGCTAGAAAGCCCCCGCAACGGCCTCTTGCTTGCTGGTTGTTGGGTTTTGCTCACAGCAGCATCCAGCTGTTTGAAGTTTTTGTTGCTGACGTCTCAGACACGGCGGACTCCGCGCCTAGCGTAACCCCGCTGTTTAACGTCCAGAGTCTGCTTGCCTCGAATCCTCTGGCGGCATCGTTTTTTTTTTCCACTGGCCGCCGGCCGTTAGCCGGGACCGTTCAGATCTCCCAGGCTGGCTGTAGTGACAGCCGGGGACGGACTGGACTGTGCCCTTTGACGCTGGCTGCTGACTCAATATGTTCTACACATACATGCGCGCTTCAATGAACCGTCAGTCAATGAGAACGGACAGATGCGTGCGCTATCTTCATGCGTGAGGTTTCGTCCTACACACGCTGTGCCGAAACGTTTAAATGACGCTGGCTGCGTGTGCGCTGCTGCGGGCGCGGATGCGAGTTCGATCGCGCGTCTGGAAGCGACGACGCCGAAACTTGCGAAGCTGCGTGCGCCCACCGACGCGGACGCGGATGCCGATGCGGCAGACGATGACGCCGCGGCCCTGCCCGGCAGGCTTCGAGGAGAGCCGCCAGAACCGCGTCAAGCTGCAGCAGATGGATCCGTCGGCACTGGAGGCGCTCGTCAACTACATCTACTCGGCCGAGATCCGCGTCACCGAGGGGAACGTGCAGGTGCGAATCCCGGGTCCGGGTCCGAGTCCGGATCCGGATCGGGATCCGGGCCAGGGTGAGGGTCCGGTTCCGGGTCCAGGTCCAGGTCAGGGTCTGGGTTCCGGTCCGGATCCCAGGTCCGGCCACGGATCAGGGTCTGTGCTCCGGATCCGGATCCGGGTCCGGGTCCCGAGTCCAAGTCCGGATCCCGAGTCGGGGTCTGATCAGTGTAGTGGTCAGCACCCCGGCCTCATCGGCGCTGTTTGGTGGATGAAGCGTGTCTGGAATGCGTCATCGTCATCACGTCGGTTAATGCTGGCGGGAGGCGTCGATTACCCCGGCAGGACGGAGCGCCCTCGTCACATGCGGCCATAGGATAGCTGCGCGTGCCACGTAAGATTTCCAGTGCTGCTTGTCAGCAGGCTGAAGGAAAACTCTCCCACCGCTAAGACCACGCGAATGGCTCTGTCAGGGCCCACGTTTCGAGCTGTGCATAGGGGGAACACTAATCTGAACACCACCGGAGTCAAGCAGTCACTAATCTGAGCACCACCGGAGTCAAGCAGTCACTAATCTGAACACCACCGGAGTCAAGCAGTCACTAATCTGAGCACCACCGGAGTCAAGCAGTCACTAATCTGAACACCACCGGAGTCAAGCAGTCACTAATCTGAACACCACCGGAGTCAAGCAGTCACTAATCTGAACACCGCCGGAGTCAAGCAGTCCTACGAGAAGGTAGTGAAAAGCCGTGGTTGGCTTTAACTGAGGTCAGGTCAGTGGGGTGTCGGCAGTCAGGTCAGGGCGGCGCTGCCTGGGGACGTGGGATGGTACAGACTCGCCTCTGACCTGAGGCCGGGTCACTGCGGGGTCGGCGGTCAGGTCAGGACAGCGCTACGTCTACGGGGATGGGGTGGCACAGACTCACCTCTGACCTGAGGTCAGGTCAGGGGGATCGGTGGTCAGGTCAGAGCAGCACTTTCTGGGGATGTGGGATGGCACAAGCTCGCCTCTGACCTGAGGTCAGGTCAGGCGATCGGTGGTCAGGTCAAGGCAGCGCTGTATAGGGAGGAGGGATGATACAAGCTCGCCTCTGACCTGAGGTCAGGTCAGGGGATCGGTGGTCAGGTCAAGGCAGAGCTGTCGGGGGAGGAAGGGTCGCACATGATCGCTTCTGACCGGCCTGTGATGTACTGCTATTGTCGCTGTCCCCGTCGACTGCAGAGCACTAGTTCAGAGCGTGAGATCGGGGGGAATCAATGGCGCACAGGGCCTAGGGAAGCTCTTTCCTCGTAGTTCGTAGTTCAGATCATGAGATCGGGGTGCCAATAGTGCGCATAGCTTGCGGAACTCATTTACTTTACTACATACCTTGCGGAACTACATTTACTCATTTACAGCTGGGTCTCCCGTGCTGGGCTTTGCTGCCGGCGAGTCCACCGGGCTGGTCGGTCGGTGGAGACCGACGCGCGGTCGAGGAGAACAGGTCAAGGAGAGGAGGCCGCCGCGAGGTGTAGCCGCTTGCGTGCCTTGAGGTCGTGTGAGCCTGCCGTCGCGTCTGCCGCAGATCCTGCTGCCAGCCTCCAACCTCCTCCAGCTGTCGGACGTCAGGGACGCCTGCTGTGACTTCCTGCAGAGTCACCTGCATCCCACCAACTGTCTGGGTATGTCTGGGTACGCCTGGGTGCTGTCTGGGTACTCTGGTTACCATCTGGATGCTGTCTGGGTATGCCTGGGTGCTGTCTGAGTATGCCTGCGTGCTGTCTGGACACTCTGGGTGCTCTTTTGGGTACCATCTGGGTGCTGTCTGGGTATGTGCGTCGCATCAGAGACCTTTGTGCCACCGCCTCTCTGGGTAGGCTACACGTTTACCAAAGATAAGTGTAGAACCATGCTTCCAGGAAAAGTCGGCACCAATGCATCACAGATGGCACTCGATAACTCATACTTTCAGTCTCGTCGCTTCATCACCAGCTACTGCTTCATCACCAGCTACTGCTTCATCACCAGCGCTGCTGAATATGCCATGGTTTTGCACCTGTGTGTCGATGCGTCATCTCCACACACGACATGCCGTCGAATCCTGCCGCGGCCAGCATTGTCACAGAGACTGACAACTCTTCTCCAGCCGGCAGTGTGTTTTACATTGCCGCTGCAGGACGTACCCTCAGGCTCGTTGCACCGGTCCACATCCACGACATACTCAGCGGTCCACATCCCCGGACCAGATGCCGCCGACATGTCTGGGGACGTGTCGGAGTTGTCGAACGACGTGGTCGGCAGATCCCAGACAGCATGACTAGGTGACACGTTATCAGACATATCCGACATATTCCGCTGTGTGACATTTCTTCTGACAGCCTCTCCGAGCCGACAAAATCTCTGATGTCTCCCTGAGCCGTGCAGTTTCTGACGTAATCTGTAGCGACGTGTACTCAGACATCGTCCTTAGCCAAAATGTTTCTCGTCGCCGGCTTTTCTTAACGTGGCAGCCAGCGCGTTTTTGTTGCCAGCGTGTCCTACAACGTATCTACCTACTGACGTGTGACTTCATGTGTGACCCCATGTGTGCCCTGAGGTTGTAACACCATATGTGACCTTGGGTGTGACATGTGCGGCCCCATATATCACCTGATATGTGACACCATGTGTGACTCCATATATCACATGAATATGGCACCCTATATGTCCTGATATGCGACCTGAGGTGGGACCCCATATGTGACCTGACGTGTGACGTCATGTATGACCCCACATGTCACGTGACGTGCGAACCCGTGTAACCTCACATGACCCCACATGTGGGCTATGTAACCTGATGTGCGACCCCGAATGTTATTCCATATGTGACATATGTGAAATTATGTGTGACCCCATATGTTACCGGATGTGTGACCCCATATGTTACCTGCTATGTGACCCCGCGTGTGACCTGACCTTTTGCTGACGTAGCCACGATATGTGATCTGATGTGCGATGTGGTATATGACCTGATGCGTGACCCCGACATATGACCCGATGTGACCTGTGTCATGGACAGGGATCCGGTCTTTTGCCGATCTGCATGGTTGTATCGACTTGAAGACAAACGCCGATGCCTACATCGAGCTCAACTTCAGGTGAGTGCTAATCGAACAAAAACTAAAAAGATAAAAAATGACAGGCTATCAATCGACATTTAATCTGGTTTCTGGAGAATGAATTCTTTGCACTAATTCTTGGATAAACTTCAAGCGACGTGACCGAGTTCAGCAGCGATGCACAATCGCTGCTATCCGGCAAAGCCGGTGCAATCCTTATATCTCTCGCCATATCTCTCGCCTCTGACGCCGGTCTGTGTGAGGAGGTGCTGACCCACGCACCGTTGGACCTTCGAAAGGTTTCGGACCATCAAGAGGTGGCGGAGTGTGGGGGTCCCTGGCCCTGCTATAGAGGTGGCGCAGTGCGGAGGAGTTTCTGGCGTGTCTTGGCTCACTTCCGGATTGCTTCGGAACAGACTGCTTGGTTTCGCAGAGACTCCGATTATAGTTGAGCGGTGTAAGAGCGTATGGTGAGTTTTGGACACTGTTGCAGCTAGGTGGTTGATTGCGCGGGGCATGGGAGTGTTGAACTCCCTTCGACGTGTTGGAGAGCGAGGGACCCCTCACTGCTTGCCGACGTAGGGATCCAGCTGGTCTCCTGCGACCGTGTTTCAGTGAAGAGATGAAGTGTGAGGAGTTCCTCACCCTGACCCGACCAGGTGATTCAGCTCACCTCCCTCGACCGTGTTTCAGTGAGGTGGTGGAGTGCGAGGAGTTCCTCACCCTGACCCGACCAGGTGATTCAGCTCACCTCCCTCGACCGTGTTTCAGTGAGGTGGTGGAGTGCGAGGAGTTCCTCACCCTGACCGCCGACCAGGTGATTCAGCTGATCTCCTGCGACCGTTTGTCGGTGGCCAACGAAGAGAAGGTGGGCGCTCACTCCCGTTCTGCTCCTCACCAAACAGTCTTCACTGCGTGATATGGCGGTCGGAGACTCCATAATACTACATCTTGAGGGGGGCATACACGTATGCCGGAGCGGATACCGGCATCAGCCTTGAGCCATACCCCCGTAACGAAGTGTGTCCCAATATCCCTTTGGGGATGCCGTGCCATCGTATGGCAGGTGCTCTGAAAGGACTATTCGCGCTTGTGGCAACGCATGCAGCCATTAGACTCGTTGGCGTTGATTGGCTTGCCGTAGACAGCTCAGTTAACGGTGTCTGGCGGCGGACAGTGAACCTTGGACATTCTGTTCAAGATTGCCACGCTAGTAAAAGCGCCCTGGCTTCTCTGATGGTGGCGTCGCGTTGGCTGCGATAACACGCTGGCAATCGCCGGATGTGGAGATCAGCTGTCGTGTCTTGAAGGAAGTTGGTACTAACTTTAAAGTAAGTCGCCTTGCGGCGACTTACAGCCGCCGCAATCCTCGCCGGTCAACAGTCGACAGTCAACAACAGTCGACAGTCAAGCCCTCGCCGGAAATTATCACGGGAAAACTATCTCCGTCCAGTCTATCCCCGCCCAAGTATTCGCCCTCCGTGCGTTGGTGGTGACGGCAAAAAACGCCTTAACCTGTCCTGAAATCGCAACGTATCTTAACTGATGTCGTTGTACTTCCTGGAACGTCCGCTAAATGTCTCTGCTAACCGTGGCTGTGCGGACAGGTGTACGAGTGCGTCCTGAGGTGGATCAACTACGACCTGCCGGCGCGGGAGCGGCACCTCGCCGACCTGATGTCACAGGTACTGACCTGACCTGACCTGATGCGTCCGATGGCTGCTTGTGCGGCGGGCCTGATGTCACAGGTACTGACCTGACCTGACCTGAGCGTCCGATGGCTGCGGGTGCGGCTGACCTGATGTATCACACAACATCGCCGGCTCCGCCAGCCGGGTTACCGCACCGCGGCTAAATAAACGCGGCTTAATTTCCAAGCAGCTGCAAGTCATTGCTAGCCACACACCACTCATCACGCCGAGCAGCGTGCGCGTTACGCGATGCACGTGCATTACACTGGTCTTGCCGCGTGTTAGAACGATGACAACTTGCACCTGGCCATGTACACGCGCTGCCACCTGGTGGCTGGTGCACTAACTACGTCATGCGGATTTCATGCACCGGGCGTTCTGCCCGATGCAAACACGCTGCGTCGCCATGCTCTGTGGAGGACGTTGCCATGAGGCATGGGTTGCTGATAATCAGCCGACAGCCGACGAGACTGTCGCGTCGCCGCCTGCGGCGCTGCAATGTTTGGCCGTAGCCATGGGTGCAACCAGGTCCCTGAGATTGAGGACAAATCTCTGGGCGGTTGAACTGATTCTGGGGACAGATCTGACCCGCGAATTGTGTTTGGAATGGGAAAGGTTGAAAAATGTCGTGTGGACGAAACGGGTGATAGAAAAGTTGTTTTAAAGAATATAAAAACGATAGTTTGAGATATTTTGAGGTACGATAATAATTTTGGAGATGATGATTTAAGATAACAGTTTGATACCTGGCAATAGACAAACTGTCTGCAAGCCTACCACCTCAGTTCACTGGTCGAACATCCTAGCGCTACCCCACGGCGCGGCTGGTGACGACAGACGCCCGTGCTCTCCAGGTGCGCCTGCCGCTCCTATCGCGGGACTTCCTCGTGCAGCAGGTGAAGAAGGAGCCGCTGCTGCAGCCGAACGCCGCCTGTGAGTCACTGTGTGACGGTGTGACGGCGTGTGGCTGTGCGTAGCGGTGCGGGGCTCATCTGTGGGTTCGTCCCGCGGCCGTGGTGCTGTATGTGTACCAGTTTCCGTGACTTGACATGCGGTCTGTGTGACGATTCCTGCGCGTCTGCGTGCGTACCTGCATTTGCGTGCTTTGCCGGTGTGGGCATGGTTCGCTAGTGTCTGGGCGACTTGCGCTGTATATGTGCGTCAGGAAATGTTTGCGTCCCTGCATCGATGTCAGTCGGCGCCTGAGCTCGCTGACACCGGCCTCGGCGCCTGAGCTCGCTGACAACGGCCTCGGCGCCTGAGGTCCCTGACACTGGCCTCGTCGCCTGAGCTCGCTGACAGCGGCCTCGGCGCCTGAGCTCGCTGACACCGGCCTCGGCGCCTGAGCTCGCTGACAGCGGCCTCGGCGCCTGAGCTCGCTGACACCGGCCTCGGCGCCTGAGCTCGCTGACAATGGCCTCGGCGCCTGAGCTCGCTGACACCGGCCCCGGCGCCTGAGCTCGCTGACACCGGCCTCGGCGCCTGAGCTCGCTGACAATGGCCTCGGCGCCTGAGCTCGCTGACAGTGGCCTCGTCGCCTGAGCTCGCTGACACCGGCCTCCGCGCCGCCGCTTCAGGCAAGGACTACCTGATCGAGGCGCTGCTGTACCACCTGTCCATCTCGAACGAGGGCGGCCCGGCTGTGGAGAGCCTCCGGACCAAGCCGCGCCAGCCGGTCGGCCTTCCCAAGGTGGGGCCGGCGGGGCGCGGCGCAACCCGGCGCGGTGCCGGCCTCCCTCCCTCCCGCCACGGCCGGCCGGGCGCGGCGCGACCCGGCGTGGCGCCGGGCTCCATCCCTCCCGCCGCGGCCGGCCGGACGCGGCGCGAGCCGGCGCGGTGCCGGCCTCCCTCCCTCCCTCCTGCCACGGCTGGCGGGGCGCGGCGCGACCGGCGCGGTGCCAGCCTCCCTCCCTCCTGCCACGGCCGGCCGGACGCGGCGCGACCCGGCGCGGTGCGACCGACAGACCTGGTCGGGTCATGACCGGGGCAGACGCTGCAGTAGGCGGGAGAGCGCGAGGGAGGGCGGGAAGGCGGGACGACGGGAGGACGGGGGGACGGGAGGACGAGAGGACGAGAGGGCGAGAGGGTGACGGGGCGGGAGAGCAGGAGGGCGGAGAGTGGGGGGGGGGGGGGGGGGAGGGCGAGAGAGGGGGAACGCGGGGATGGGGGAGGGGGGGGGGGGGCAGGGGCGTCGCCACCGAGCCAGTTGCGCGCCGGGTTTTCTTAAACGGGGAGGGGATTGATGTTCCAGATAGCACAGTTTCAGCCCCCCCCCCCCCCCCCATAGGTGCACAACCGCGGGTTTTTGCGCCTCTCGCGGTAGGGTTTTCCTGCTTGTTGAGTCGTAACATTATGCTTTTAATGTACTATGTATATGTATACTGTGCCACAATGTTGGTAGTATCGCTGCCTATCCCCCATCCCCAGTCACCACCGCATACGGCTTATCTTATGTTGAAGCTTTTTATGATTCTAAATTCAAATGTGGTCTTAGGAAGTTTGCACGAATGACACGGAGAGAGATTCGATCAGTAAGTATTCACCGTATGTGCTGGCATCTGCGTGGCCACCCTGTAACTTGGCACGTGACCTCTGATCCGTGACCTGAGCTGTGATTCTGTGACGTGGCATGTGACCTCTGACCCCTGACTGGAGGCCTGACTGGCGCGCCCGCTGGCTCTGTAGCCGGACCTGCGGCCTGTCGCCCCTCGACTCGAACTCTCACCCAGGTCCCTTGACCTGCGACCTGTGGCCCTTCGACTTGAACTCCGACCCAGGTCAGTTCACCCCTTGACCTGAACATTGACTCAAGTCGCCCGACGACCTGTGACCGCGTTTACTGACCCGATGCATACTTATATGACCTGTGACCTGACCTGAACTTTGACCTGACACGTGATACCATGAGCAGACACGCGGAGCGTGACATGACCTGGGACGTGATCTGAACTGAGACAAATGATAGCATAGCCTGACTTATGGCGTGTGACCTGTGACACGTGACCTGACCGGAAACGTGACACGTGACACCATGGCTGACACGTGGCTGGGGACGTGACATATGACACGTGACCTGACCTGTGATAGATGACGCCGTAACGTGACACTCAGCTCGTGACATGGTCTGTGCCACGTGCCCTGCCTTGACCTGACCTGACCTGACCTGTGACCAGGTTCTGCTGGTGGTCGGCGGTCAGGCGCCTAAGGCCATCCGCTCGGTGGAGGCGTACGACCTGAAGCAGGAGCGCTGGCACCAGCTCTCGGAGATGCCCATCAAACGCTGCAGGTCGGTCGGCGCGCCCACGCTGTCAGAACTGGGAACCTCCTGCAGGTCTTCTGCTGCCACGTCGACTGATTGGGACAGCTATCGGCCTGTGCTGCGGCGTATGGGACTAACATCTTTGCGATTATAATGTGGTAGTGGTGTGGCCATTTTAGTCGCGGTCACTTTTGCCGATTAGGGAGGGGGGGGGGGGGGACGCAGTGATTAGAACAGGAAGGGAAACGGCTTTAAGTCGGTCCGGGTGTCGTGGCGTAGCGGCTGAAGGTCGGGCATTGCCAAGCTGTGACGGCCCCGACAGTTGCCGTATTAGTGAACGGGATGCGCTGTCAGCGCTGTTGCGTGGGAGCATCATCGCATCTAAGCGGAGGGATACGTCCCAGTCAGGTGGACTGCCATGCTTGGTAGATCAGTGGGTTGCGTTTGTGCACCGGCGGGTTGTGCCTGATGTGAATCTCACCGGCGTTAGTGGCAGCCAGCCGGACCAGAGCTTACCCACAGCACTCAGGTCTGCCTGCGGTGTTTCCATTAACTTTTGATGGTCAGACCTGGTACCGGAGGCTGGTTTCATTGAGCAAAATGCATACTTTTGCATTTTTGAGTTGTCTTAGTAAAATATGAACCCAAAGTAAAGCGATGTTGCATGACAGGTTTGAGTTTGCTAAAAGTGATAGAGTGAGTTAAATCATTCATATCCAGCACATTTTAAATTGCTTCGCAGTTGGTGTATAAGCTCAATACACAGATAAAAAAATGCATAGGTTCATACTTTTGTTTTTTTAAGCTCTACTCTGGCCATCATTAACTGCATAAGATGGACACGATTGTCATCACTATGGTCCTCCAAGTCGGCCACCACTCCCTTCGGCCAGCACGCATTTCCCCCACCCTACCCTACCGCCATCTATGGCCGCCCGCGTAATTCGCATTTCGCGGCGCCTCCGCCAGGTGTGGCGTGGCTGTGCTGGACGGCAAGGTCTACACGGTGGGCGGCTTCGACGGCTGCCTGCGGATCCGTACCGTCGATCTGTACAACCCGGCCAGCGACACCTGGCAGAGCTGCGTGAACATGGAGGTTCGCCGGTCGACGCTAGGTGTCGCCGTGCTCAACGACTGCATTTACGCCGTGAGTGACGGGGCGCCGACCGTGGCACGGTTTTTAGTCCTGTCGTCTGTGTGAAACTAGCATTCAGTTAAAGTCAGCAACTTGTGTGCACGTGGAAGTGAGTTGGGAGTGCTGTAGTTGTATCAAGTTGACGACGGCGGCGCAGTGGACACACAATGGCACATGGTTATAAAATAGATCGTGCTGAGTGCATGAGTACCGGTCAAGCTTTGTTTCTCCTCATGCGAAGCCCTGCACCATTGCGCGGGATGCCGCATGGGAATTTCGCCGCCGTTGTCCGTCAGAGTGGACGATCTAGAGCTGCCCCGGCTAGCAATGCCGCCTCAGCCCCCTCCCCTTCCCTCCCCTCCCCTCCTCGCCTCGCCTCGCCTCGCCTCCTTACCCCTGTCATACGGCGGGGTTCGCTCTATTGGGAGGCGTGATGTTAGCGGTTCACGAAAGGTACCAGCAGTGTGACTCCTCGTCCCCTCTCGCCTGTGTTTTGGGGCTCCGGACTGGACTGCTGACTGACCGACTGAACTGACTGCATCATACATGGTAGGGGTGTGGTCGAGCCGTACAACAGGTAACTGCATGAAGCATCTCGAAGACCCGCGAAAGTCCCTTGCCGCGCGGCTTTCTTCGCCGTTTGGCACAGGACCAGAGCTTACCCACAGCACCCAAGTCTTGAGGGATGAGGAGGGTTCTGTCTAGCTCCACGCGGAATCTTCGTTTGCCGCGCAGAGTCCTCCAACTTTGAATCGTCAGCTTCGACCCCACCCTTCTGAACCCCGCAACTCCCCTCTGGCCGACAGGTGGGAGGCTTTGACGACAGCACCGGCTTCCTCACGGCCGAGATGTTGAGGCCAGTGCTGCCGCCAAAGCCTATGAATTTTCTATGAATATTTATGAACATGCGCCATTGCGTGTCCACCGTGATGCCATCACCAACCACACGCAACTCCGCCACTCCCAACTCACTTCCACCTGCACACGAGTTTCTAATATTAAGTGAACGCTAGTTTCACATCGCCCTTTTGACCATCGCCCCCCCCCCCTCCCCCGCTGACCCTCGCCTCCCCCCTCCCCCGCTGACCCTCGCCTCCCCCTCTGACCGACAGGTGGGAGGCTTTGACGGCAGCACGGGCCTCAACACGGCCGAGATGTTCGACCCACGCGTCGGCGAGTGGAAGATGATCGAGCCGATGTCGGTGCGGCGCAGCAGCGTTGGCGTCGGTGTGGTGAACGGCATTCTGTACGCGGTGAGTTGACGAGGGGCGTGAACAGCCTGAGACGCTGCTGTGTGTGGGGCCAGTGGATTACTGCTGTGTGGGGTCAGTGGAGCACTGCTGTGTGCGGTCAGTGGAGCACTGCTGTGTGTTGAGTCAGTGGAGCACTGCTGTGGCAGTCAGTGGAGCACTGCTGTGGGGGGTCAGTGGTGCACTGCTGTGTGGGGTCAGTGGAACACTGCTGTGGCGGTCAGTGGAGCACTGTTGTGTGGGGGCAGTGAGGCTCTGCTGTGGTGGCCAATGTAGCACTGCTGTGTGGGATCAGTTCAGCACTGCTGTGTGGGGGTCAGTGGAGCGCTGCTGTGTGGGGTTAACGGAGCACTGCTGTGTCGGTCAATGTCGCACTGCTGGGGTGGTCAACGTAGCACTGCTGTGGTGGTCAAAGTGGCACTGCTGTGGTGGTCAACGTAGCACCGCTGTGGCGGCCAACGTAGCACTGCTGTGGTGGTCATTGTAACACTGCTGTGGCGGTCAGTGGTGCACTATCACGTGGTTGTCACTGTAATGCCGCTTGGAGATCAGTTTAGCACTGCTGGGCTTGGAAAGGCCAGTATACCACTGGTGTATGGGGAGGCGCGGTACAAAACTTTAGTGTGTGATTAGTGCGGCGCCGTCGCGTTTGGTTCATTGCGCATGCCTAATCCAACCTAACCTAGCCTAACCTAACCTAACCTAACCTAACATAACCTAACCTAACCTAACCTAACCTAACCTAACCTAACCTAACCTGGCCTAGCCTAACCTAACCTAACCTAACCTAACCTAACCTAACCTAACCTAACCTAACCTAACCTAACCTAACCTAACCTACCCTAACCTAACCACTGTGTCAGGAGCAAGTATGTGCATCACTTCACGTGGCCAGGTCACCAACGCCACAATGCGAGGCATCACAGCATCCATGTAGGCGTCACTACCGTGCCCGTTGAGCGGCCGTACCCAACACCGGGGGATTTGGGCGGGGTTTGTCGCGCAGGGATTGCACGTTGTGCTGAGTTTGTCGTGCGGGGTTTGCACGTTGTTCAGTGTTTGTTGCACGGGGTTTGTCGTGCGTGGTTTACGTGTTGTGCGGGGTTTGTCGTGCGGGGTTTGCGCGTTGTACATGGTTTGTCGTACGTGGTTTGTCGTGCGGGGTTTACGTGTTGTGCGGGGTTTGTCGTGCGGGGTTTGCGCGCTGTACACGGTTTGTCGTACGGGATTGGTCGTGCGGAGTTTGTCATGCTGAGCCGCCTGGCCCGCCGCAGGTGGGAGGCTACGACGGGGCCAGCCGCCACTGCCTCTCGTCGGTGGGGGCGTACAACCCCGAGCTGGACAGGTGGACCATGGTGGCCGAGATGAACGATCGGCGCTCGGGCACAGGTAACCATGGCGACCGGCCACGCCTATGGTCGTGGCGGACTCTGGCGGGCGTGAGGCAAACTTATTTATGGCGTGGCCCTCGGGCGGACAGCACGTGCGGAATAAATATACGATGTTTTCGTTGTGAAACGAAGCCGTTGCTGGAGTCGGCTAAGATGCGCGAGTACCGGCGAGCCGGCAAGGTTCGTCTGGCACCGGTTGTAGCTTTGGCGGAATGTATGCTGCTCCAGTTGCATTTCCTGATAGAGCTGTGAAATGGCTGGCGTTGCCAGCCTAGTTGGTGCTTCAGTACCTCCGGTACTAATTTCGTACCAGCTACCAGTACCTCGGTAACGGAATTTCGTACCTCTGGTCCGGAACTGGGCGCCTGGTGACGACAGGCACACTAAAATGTGTGCAGTGACGCACCGCGGCGCTCAAAATGGGACATTGGGCGTATGCACGGCCAAGTGGACATTCGCCCGCGCATCTTCGAAACCGAAGCGAGCCTTAAAGACTCATCGGAAGGTCACGAAACGGTAGTGGGAACAAACGTTTGCAGAGGGCTCATAGCGCCACGGACTTACATCCGGGGAAAATCGGTTTGTGGGTGTGTTTAGAGTGGCAGATTTCGTCATTTTTTTCAGTTTTCAGCCCCCCTCTTCAACGCACTTCACGAAAGTACGTGACGTCACGACACGTGACCTGTTTGGCGGGTCGGTTTGAAGCCGCCAGACGTATTCCACGGCGGCGGTTCCAGGCTGGTGCTGGCCACGTGCACGTGCCCGCCAGTGCTCACACGAGCACCTTCGCCCGAGAGGTTCTGGGGGGGGGGGGGGGGATTACTCCGCCACTCTTTATTAAAGGGGAAGGGGGGGGGGGGTGATGGCGAGGACAGAAAGGCGGGAAAGAGGCAGGTCGTGTGACGGATAGTGAGGGAGTGGCGGAGTGGGAAATGGGCACTGACAGGCGCGGGAGGCCGAGGAGGAAGATGGAAGGCTGGGAAGGCCGGAGGAAGGCAGAGAAGCCTGGAGAGGCCGGAGAAGTACGGCAAGCAAACCAGGGTAGGGATAGGAAGAGGACGAGAGAGAAATAGTCGAGGTGAGAGTGGGTTAGAGGGACGGAAGTGGCTGAGGAAGATAAGGACAATTGGGGAAGGCAAAGTTGGCGTTTAGTTCATCGGCTTCCACACAGCGCCATTGAGTCAATCTCAAGTCCTCCCAAAATTGTGGGAAAAGGGAGATATTTCCCACCGCTCCCTCATGCGCCGCCCCTGAATACACGAAGAGCGCAAGAAATCCCACAGAGGGGGAGGAGGCAAGAGCTCCTCCGCGCGTGAGATGTGCCCCCTCAGCAGGATTTGGCTCAGCACCACCGTCGGTGGGGCGGGGGGGGGGAGGGAGTGGGAGAAGCGGACAGGGACACGTCGAACGCTGACGTCGAACACAGACACGCCTGGCTAACTCCGATCCGGGGAGTGGATCCGCCGGATGGTGAGCGGTCGGCAAGCCGTCGTCCCCGCGTTCGCCCGATGTCGCGGCGCTGCCAAGACTTGCAGGCCGGTTCCGCTCGCGGTCGAGGCGAGGCTCTCATTTCTTGTTCGGCCGAACTGACCCGCAGTCGGCACGGACTCTGAGAGCAAAGCAGAAGCACAGCTCGCTCGTGCTGCGCGAATCACGACTTTTCCAAAGAGCGCTTCCGCCCCACCTGCCTTATCGTTTAGAGCGACGCGGTGTTTTGTTCGCGCGCGCTCCGGCTGGTGGAGAGGCGCTAAGTGAGCAGCCGACAATCAATGCGGGCCGCCGCCGAGGGAAGATCTTGTCACAGCGGCTGATTTTCTGTCGGAGCCGGGAGCGGATGCGGATTTGGACGTGGAAGCGAACGACCGCGGAAACGTGGGCGGGGTTGGGGGGGGGGGGGGGAGGGGGCGCTGGTGAGGACTAAGCACGCAGAAAAGAGAGAGAGGCAGTGGGGATAGCTCTAAGGAGCGGAGTGGGTCAGAGCGACCAGAGCCTTCAGTAGTCGGCGCGCTCTAAAACCCCAATCAGCAGCAACAAATCAGCGAGAGGAGGGTTGTGAGGAGTACGAGATGACAACGCGTGGGTGAGGTTCACCGTAGGAGGAGGCGCGAGAAGTGTGTTATGCTCTGCTTTACCTTCTGTCTCTCTCAATGTCCTTAGCCTCGCCTCACCCACGTCCTTTCTCCTCCCTTGTCCTCTCCCCCGACTTGTTCTTTTCCCCCCGCTCCCTCTTTCTCTCCGTTTTATCAACCATCGCCATCTCGGCCGCCATCACCATTTTTCTCACGTCTCCTGATGTTTCCTGTACAGACACTTTTGTTGTTTTTCCGCGCGATTTATTGTTGCGTGGCGGAAATGAATTTGAAGCCGAAAAACTCTCCGCTCGCATTGTGTTGCAGGCCCGTGTCGGCCATATGGTTCTTTACTCACTGGTGATCATACAGTAAACACGGACGAACTTTAAACTCATGGTAAACCCAAGCAGGATGCAGCATTGTTTCGTCGCCTGTTAGACTTCTCCTGACGGGTATTTTTGCTCCGAACACGAGGGACATGGTGCATGTTTTTCAGAGCTCTCACTCTCCAGGAAGAGGTGAACTTTCTTACCCTCTTGCAAACTCCAGCGAAACGAGAGATGCCGCTCAACCGCTTTTGGGCAAAAATATTCCACCTGACCTCAACCACCAGCGGGCAAAAACATATCCACCTGACCTTAACCGCCGGCGGGCAAAAACTTGTCCACCTGACCTTAACCGCCGGCGGGCGAAAACATGTCCACCTGACCTCAACCGCCGGCGGGCAGAAAAATGTCCACCTAACCTCAACCGCCGGCGGGCAAGAAATGCACGCGTCGCGAGCGACCCGGCGGCCATTGCGGTGGCGATTGTGGCGCGGCGGCTGCGTCAGGTCCGCCGGCGGCGCGGCGCGACCGGAGCACTTGATCTCGGCTGACGCGGCGCTGAGTGAGCGGCGACTCGGCTGCCTCAGTCGGTCGAGAGCCGGCTTGGCACTGGGCAGCTGGGCTTGGGGGATCGGCGTCGGGCTCGGCGCTGGGTGGCCTTGCTTAGGGGATCGGCGCCGAGCACTGCAGCCGCCTGGACTAACAGTCAGCCGTAGCTTAAACAAGAACTAGTCAAGCGAGACAGCTAGTCAAGAACAGTCCAGTAGTTCTTGGGTTGGATATGTAAGGAGAAGGGCGAAATGGCCGAGAATGGCTTGAAACGCCTTTGATTGCATACTCGGCTGCCAGCAATCTATCGGCATGCGAGTGTGTAGGCTCCGCGACAATGCCTCCGAGCAGTACATGTTGGCTGGGTGAACACAGCTGCTGTGGCTAACTTGAAAATAATGATCAGCATTACGTAAGGACAGGGTTGTGCGTTCGGCTTAGATGGAAGCCATTTGTCGGTTGACAGCATCCTCACCAGCCCAGCGCCAGCGGCACTGAAATGCTACGAACGCAGATAGCCAACGTAGTTAGTGCGCCTTCAGCTTTCTCTGTTATGGGTGGACTAGAGCCCCTAAAGCAGCAACACACGGGCGTGGTGCGAAAGCCAGCGCGCCCGCATCAGTACCTGCGCGGCGGCGCTGTGTTGACACAGCGGGTGTCAGCGGCCTCCAGCTTCGCCGCCGCCGCACAGTCCACCTCTCCAGACGTCACCCGACCTTCTCAAACTCGAACGCGGCGCCGTCGTCTGCAGCCGACAGCCGCCGGCTGCCGCTGGCG